CCCCAAAACCCCAAAACCCCAAAACCCCAAAACCCCGTTCAATATAAAACTTTTGAAAATAAATAAATGGCGGAAAGACATGAGAAAGCAATCATGGGTAAGTTCACAAATATAGTTCTAGATAGAGAAAATATCCTAACAGAAATTGCTGGAATGAAACAAGAGATGAGCTCATGGAAGGATCTTCTGTTCAACCTCCAAGAGTCCTTCAATATTATCTGTGATGAGGTTATGGAGCAAAGGAAGCAAGGTGGGTCTTGAAGATACTATGTTATTTAACTGTTTATAGTGAGAGCTCCTCAGACAGCCCCTGATCCAGCAGGCTACACTGCAACATTCAGTCCTTATCCCAACCAAGCTCCTCAAGAAGTTCCCCAAGAATGTAAATAATGTTACTCCAAAATTATAACCCATTCAAAAAGAGAGGAACCTTCAACCTCCAGATTTATCTGTAAAAGTATTGATAGCACTTAATATTCATTTCCTTATAAAATTCTGCTTAATTTTCTCTTCCGAAATAGCAAATTACTTCAAAATTTTTGTTCCTAAATTCCCAAAATTGCCAACTTATCCAATAATTCCGCATTTTCACAAAAATAGGCAAATACGAAGGTCCTTATAAAAATGGTCATGATCCAAGCCAGGCTCAAGTTCCAGTAATCGAACAGACATTAGAGAAAAAAGCAGAGTCAAGACCTGGAAGTGAACTCAAGATTGTATCAAGCGAGTACCAACTTGATGGGTCCATGATCCTTCATGACTCGAAGGCTGAGGTAGATCTGCAAGGGATAAATGATGACAAGGAAAGATCTTATATGGATCAGTCCCAACAGCCTGCCAAAAGTTCTCAATTTGATTCCAAGGTGTTCTCAATTTCTCCTGAAATGGAATCTTGCTATAGTCAAAAATCTAATGTTGACTTTAAAGAAAATGTTAACAATCAAGCTAATCGGTAAATTAAGTTATTTTAATTAATGTTATAGTCCTCAGCACTTAAGAGGCTCTAAATCAAGTGGCTTTATTAAGCGTCAGAAGCCAAAAATTCTTCAAAATACCCCACAAAATATTGAAAATTCTCCTCAAAACCAAACAGAATTAATTAAAACTGGTAAAATTTCCACCTCAAAGGACGAAGAATATAAGGAGAAAATAATGTCAATGTACAGTAGCAATCAGGTATCTAAAAAGGACATCCTAGACAATATTCTTGAAGTTGAAAAAGAGGACTCCGGGCCTGACAATCTACGTATAATTGCTTACAAGCTGAAGAAGAAGCTTGAAGAAAAGGCAGAAAAACTTAAATCCCTTCGCCTATCCCAACAATTTGGCTCTAACCCAGATTTTAAAGAGGAGGATTATTCCAGAGAAGATTATTCTAAAGAGGAATATTCAAGACAAGATTACTCAAGAGATAACTATACGGGTGAAAGCTACTCCAAGCAAGACTACTCCAAACAAGATTACTCCAGAGAAGATTATACCCAAGACGATAGAGTTTATACAGGTGAATATGACTCTTATGAAGAAGAGGAGGAAGAAGCAGACTCCTCTATCGACAGAGACCTTGAAGAGAAATATTTCAACCATAGCCTATCAGATATTTATACCAGCCAGGCATCTTATCGAAGGTAATTTTCAATTCCAAGCTCAAATTGAGGGGTTTTGGGGTTTTGGGGTTTTGGGGTTTTGGGG